ACCTCCTTCTCCTCCTCCTCCCTCTCCTCCTCTTCCTCCTCCTCCTCTTCTTCTTCTTCTGTTCCGCCTCCATTCTTTCCCTTATGAATAACTTCTCCCTGTCGCACCCCGAGGCCAATTTTTAGGGCGGGCCGGTCGTTTCGCCTCAGACTTCCTCACCATTTATGACCCTGAAGCTTGAAAATGACAACATTTCACAGATGGAGGGCGGGTGATTTTCAACATGTGGCTCTCGCCGCAGCGCTGCGCACATTCGTTTAAAAAATGTGCAAGGGCTTCACGGATTGAAGGTGAAACGTTTTCAAAATGTGGCTCTCGCCTTAGCGCCACCCACAGTCGTGTTAAATATGTGCAATAGTTTCACGGATTGAGGGCGGTTGCTCTTCAAAATGGTGCTCTCGCCTTAGCGCCGCGCACATTCGTTCGTTTATGTTTTCTTATAACAAATGAGCAAGAGCTTCACGGATCCCCATGATCAGCGGACCAGCGATGGTGTTTTGGAAGATTTGTGGATTATGAGAGTGCAACAGTTACATTGATTTGCGGTGTCGAAGATGGGTCTGGCACGATTCAGGAGCGTCAAGACGCAACACTCAAATTGATGCGTGGCGTTGGAATCCCGAGAACAATGTTTTGACATGCTTCAGGGTCTTCAAACGGTTGTCTTCCAACGAGGCAGGTCCCTGAGTGGAAACGAACCTTTGTAGGGGCCAATGAAGGGGGAGCTTGGAGGGAGGGTATATTCCAACATCGTTCATGACTCTTGTTTTTACAGTGGTCCTCCTCCTCGTCCTCCTCCTCCCCAGTCTGTGGTGCTGTAGGGCCGTCACAAAGCTGCGTGACGAGATCGTGGGAGCTGCGCTGATCGCCCGAGCAGCTACCATCACGTCTGAAGGCCCAGACTGGAACCGGCTTAGCGGACGCATCTTCCAACACCCAAGCGCGCCTTTACCACGGCCTGTTGCTGGAGGGCGAACGGATGTGCGGTCGGCAGACGACCCTACCAATATGGCGGTCAGCTTCGAAAGGATGGTTTTCTTCGATGGTTCAGGTCTCAAGAACCCATCGTGATGCTGTCCAGGGCAAACTGGAGGGCGGATGTGTATAGCAAAGAGCGTCAGCTGTTGTGCGCGGCTTGAAATCCAGTCCCTAGCTTCCTCCCTCGTACCTCCCTGGCGGGCGAGTTTCGTGGGCTTGGGGCCATCAGTGAGCTCCTGCGTGGTCCTTCTGAAGGTTTTTCGGTTTGCGCCAACGTTGGGGTCGCGTTGAATTCCGCAGTGCCCATGCAGGTCTCCTATTAGAACAAGTTTACGCTGGAACCCTTCTGAATATGTCTTGCAATGTATAATCTCGTGGTCGCAAGGGCAAAGCTCACGTCATAGACGACGGAGAGCTTAACGAAGATCGGATACTTTCTGAGCAAGGGAATGACGAGGCAGATGCCGCTGCTAAGCGGGGAGCGCGGAGCCATCCTAGAGCATCGCCCAACGAGTTGCAGGCGATAGGCGATCGAGCCGATATTGCCAGCGAAACCTGTGCCCTTGCAGCACGACTCATGCCGAGTTGGCCTAGGCTGAATCTCGATAGCGTCCCTCGAGTCCCGCCTCCTCCCCGTTCGCAGGCGTCGAATTCAACTGGCATTGTGCGCGAGAGGTTGGTGCCGCTCCTTCAGAAGGTGCCAGCGCTGTTCAAAGGACAGACGTTGTGAGCGGAAGCCTTCGAAGAACAACTGCTCAGGTGAGCTGCCCGCTGTCGCCCTCGAGATCGGGCAGCTTGAGCACTCGCTCAAGGTCTTCTCTTGCACTTACGGTGCGTTGCTACATGCCTGCTCCAGGTGCAAGGCGTATGCAGCTGGAGGCCGGTTCCGCAATATTGCCAAGGATTGCCTTGCAGACGCTGCTCTCAAGAATCATGGGATTTCTAGCTGTGTCGCCACAGCAGGGAGCAACATTCTCGGGTAAGCACCCTAAGCTGGCTCACGTGCAAGTGGAGCCTTTCGATGGTTTGCTCGCTTGACTGTGGGCAGTAGAGCGCTGGTCGGAAAAAAACACAGAACAACAATAACAACAGCAACAACAACAACAACAACAACAACAACAACAACAACAACAACAACAACAACCACAACCACAACCACAACAGCAGCAGCAGCAACAACAACAACAACAAAAAAACTACCCCCCTTGTCCTCCTCGTCCTCGTCCTCCTCCTCCTCCTGCTCCTTCTCCCCCCCCCTCCCCCCCCTGCTCCTCCCTCTTCCCTGCCCCCACTCCTCCCCCTCCTGCTACATATCCTCCCCCCCCCTCCTCCTTGTCCTCGCCCCGCCTCCAACCACTTCCCCCTTCCCCTCCTCCTCCTCCTCCTCCCCCCTCCTCCTTCTCCCCCTCCCGATCCTCCTCCTCCGCCCCCTCCCCACCTCCTCCTCCCCCCCCCTCTCCCCCCCACCTCCTCCTCCCCCTCCTCTTCTTCATCCTCTTTCTCCGCCTCCCCCCTCCTGGAG